AATGTGATTGGTCACTTGCAATGTTGAACCTGGAACAACATTTTCATGATGATGTGGGAACAACACCAACACGACGATATCAGATCATCCGAGACAAAATATACACAAGAGGGTGATTAGGAGAAATGGGACACATGGGGAACAACATAGCAGAAGTGAAGGAAACAAACAAGACAAGGGAAAAAAAACTAAATGTAATGCACATGAAATGATGGACTACCAAAATATAACAGAAAGTAACTAATAAAAAGACTAGGACCTGGTTGCTATGGTTACTCAAGGGGGCAGCCTTGTTAATATCTTATACCCTTCATACCTTTGGTCAGTGCAGGAAGAATGCTTAACTGCAGCTATGAATATTTTCTTAAATCGATAAAACACTGCCATTGTTTATTCTAATTGTAATATTTTGTTTGGTAGGATGTTAGGTTGGCTAGCATCCTACCTGGTCTTTCACTATGCATATAAAACACTCTGATTCTTCAAAAGCTGATGTTCAACTATGTCAAAAGGAGGTCTAATTTAGGCTGGAATTCCACCTGTTTATCATATAATTCATTTTTTTTTAATCCTTGGATTACATACTATTAATTTATTAATTGGATTATGTTTTTATTTTTTGTATTTATCTAAAAAGTGATTTTTGCCCCCACAGAAAGACTTTGAATGTATCCCAAATTACCAGGCAACAGGTTTTTTAAAATTCTGGTTTGAGAATAGACTAATTTCTGGAAAGCTTGCTGGGCATAGGTTTGCACACTTTACCTCGACTACCTCCCTGAACAATAACTAAGTGAATGCTGCTCTCTCTCAGAATCCAAGAACATGTTGTAAAATGTTTATTCTTTTCTTTTTTCCACAATACTTGCAATCTTGTCGTTTCTTCTGGGTGTGTTACAAGTGTGTGTGCATATGTTCTCTGGTTAAATTTAATAAAAAATATCTCTGAGGAAAAAAAGAGTCTGAACTGTCAACTTTTGTCCTCTTCTTTATGTGACATTTAAAACTGCTGATAATGGGTTTTAAAGAAGCTCTTACACTCAGCTCCTATCAGTGTCACACTGTGTTTCTATTTGCTTTAGTCGTGTTTGGTCTTGATAATCTGTCTTTATGGGAAAAAGATTTGTTTTTCCTTTTGGGGGAAGGGAAGGGGTGCTGTTTTGAGGCATGTTTAAACATAATACCATCCAAAGGTTTATAGATTATGGAATTTTTTTTTTTTAAAAATCTGTTTTTTAGCATCTGATATTTTCTGACAAGAAATCAGAGACTTTTTTTTTATCAGTGAGCTCAACTGGTGCCCCTGAGAGTATCTCTAAATGAACAGTACAACAAATTGTGAAGCTGATAGGCTACAGCACCATAATAAATATAAATCCTTAAAACCAATATGTCCACAGTGTTCAGCAGGGGTTAATCTGTGTGGTGTTTCTTGCTGTAGTTTCCAACTGTGAACTCCCATCACCTTATTTCTTCTGCACACAGATTTTATACTTATTCCTCCTTTCTCCCCCCTATCAATTGATGTGAGCCACACCCTGTTATCCTCTCTCTGTGACATTTCACCCATATTAACCAAAGCAGACGTAAAAGCAGTAAAACCAGTTGTTACATTTTTCATCCATCATTAGGCTATGGATTTACAATAGGGGGAATTAGATATACCATATGTCAAAAAACGATTTATGGCCCCTCTTTATGACAGGGGAAGTAATAAAGGCAGTAAGAAAAATTTATAACAGTCATAGTCTTTATGATATGTCATAAAGTATTAATAATTCATTAGTGATAATTGTGATAACGAGTGATAATTTATACTCACATGATTAAAATATGATGATGAATAATATGTTCAAAAGATGTATTATAAATTAAATATATGGAACAAAAATTATATTAGTGTTTTGTTGTCACTTTAAGCAAAGAAGATTTCTTTTTAGACAAAAAAAAAATCTCTTTTTGTTGGGGCTGTGCGCTTGTGTGTATGTGTGTATTGTTACGTTTATTTATCCAAAACAATGGTTTTATTGTCCATCCTATGTTTTTAAGTAAAGCATAGGAGTGTTATACACATGTCAGGTTACAACAGTTATGTTAGGGGAGTTGAAATCTATTTTAAGAAGATATACCAAAGATCACAGGATGGAAAAATATTCAAATGAGCTCTTCTTGTTTTATTGGAACAGTAAAGTACCACAACAAAGAATAAGTCCACCTATAAAAGAAAAATTATCACTGCTGACTGGGAGTTGTCTTCTTTTACGTGCAGACTCGGGTCAGGGCTGATAGTTTACTTGTGATATTTTCTTATTTAAACATTTGTGACTTAGAACCTTAAAGTTTAAAACCACAACATCTTTCTTTCAGCCATTTGTGCTTATCACTATATGTGACTCATTTCTATGCAATAACCAAAGTACACAAATGCAATATAAAACATTTCAGTTATAAAAGATACATTGTATATATGTGTAATCATGTATGCATGCAAAGTTCCTGTTACAAAATTACACAGTGTAAGAAAAATAAAATGTATTAGGATGTTGTGCTTTTTTAAAAATCTGTTTTTCTGAAAATGAAAATTGCACCTTTTCTTTTTTCACAGTGCCTGTATGCCTCTTCCAAAACTTTGTGCTATTCACCCCCAGATGCATGATTATCTGAGGCATGTCATCAGATGGCCACCTTCTTGTAATTCATAATGGTTTGTGCTCGCTGCTTTGCTTGGGCGTGCTGGATCAGATCCAGATGTAGAGTCAGTGCGGCAATAATGGCTCTTTGTAGTTCATAAAAATTTTCTCAAAAAGCGATGTTTCAAATGTAACAAACAGCTGAATGCGGTGTGAACGCAAGGGGACCAGCAACACTGCTGATATAAAGTGATGATGGTCGGTAAAGCAACTGGTCAGGACGTGTTTTTCTGGTGAGTCTGCAAAGCTGCCTTGGTTGATTTCAAAAAATTTGGCTGTAAATTTGGTTTTGATTCTCATTGGCCAAAGAGAGGGCCACCTCTCCCTGTAATTACTCTATTAAGGGAGGAGCTCCAGATGCGCCCATGGAATAGACTAGAGATTCCAGTAGATGAAAGTCAGGCAGGTGAAATCTTACGGTCTTGCTCTGAGCTCTCGCTTGAGGGGGATCCTAGCACCAGCAGCTAAATACTTCATAGATCATAAGTTTCCTAATTGGTAAAAAAGGGTAGAACCACCTCTCTTTAAGGTTCAGGAGGAGCTCCAGATGGCGTCCCAGGTAGCATCTCAAACCCTGAATCTTGGATCTTCTCAGGTACAGAGCTGCAGGGCTGTGAACATCCACGTCTCTCTCTCTCTCTCTCTCTCTCTCTGTGGCCTCACTCTGACTGTGATTTTCTTTTTTCAGATTAAATGAATACAAATAAACGTAATTACAGACTTCCAATGGGACATACAGCCAATTCAGAATAACCTATTTTTCGTTTCACACTTTCATGCAACTTTTTTGCATGCAAAAACACACTATTGTGAATTATTGTTACATATTCAATTTTTATACATATTTTGAACATATTTATCCTCATATTTCATCATATAATTATGAATTATTACTCAGTTATGAATTATTACATACATAAATTACTCAAATGACATAATTTCCAAAATAAAGCATTCAGACTGATTCTATTAAACGTCATAAATCATTTGACAGGGGCCATACATCTCTTTTTGACACATGGTATAGCTAATCCATCACTGGATATGACATTTCACACAGGACACCTCATGCAGCAGATTAGCACCTTTAAAATCCTTAAAATGAGCTACAGCCCAGAAAACCTTGGATTTCTATTTATCTGTGTACACAGAACCAGGGCTGGACTGGAATGCAAAAAAAGTTAAAACATATGCACATATTGGTGAAAATTCCTTAAAGCAGTAGTAAAGCTAAATAGTACATAAAAAAGATAAATAGAGTCATTTGTCACATAATCACATTATCTGTTTAAAAGATGCATTACTTGTAATAATTTTACAAGATAGAGATTCTCACCTTACAAAGTAATTTCTTCAGTGAGATACTCTTCTCTGCAACTCTATCAATGCTACCATTATCAAAAGCCACAAGTATGTCCTTTGGCCATCAACATACAGATGCGTTCAAGATGTTATGATCTGTAGTGAGAGTATGGAGCAGGTGGAAGTTTACACTGGAGAGAAGAGGAATGAAAGTGAATAGAAGCGAGACAGAATATATCTGTGTGTGAATGAGAGGAAGGTTGGTGGAAGAGGAGGGATAGTGGATTCACTGGACAAAGGATGTTGAACATGGAGATGTTAGACAGACGGAAAAAAGAAAGACCAGAGAAGATTCATGGATGTAGTGTATGAAGACATGTGGAGGGTTAGTGTGACAAAATAGGATGGTAGAGTCAGGTTGAGATGGATAATATTTTTATACAGAAGAACTATTTGTAGATTAAAACAAAACATATGGAGGCATATTTGTGTTTAAAAAGCATCTTTATTAAAATGCAAGTTGAATAACTTGCGTGACAACCTCAGGACTGACTGCACATCTTTAAGCTGGAACAAAAGAATAAAACATGAGGATGCAATTGTGTTAAAATAATCAGTCAGGACTAAAAAAGTACTGAATTAACTGTATTGTCAAATACTGTATTGTGTTGAGATTGAACAAATATTTTAAAAATAACTTCAATTCAATTTTGTGTGAAATGTGGTGTTCTCGCTATAACCGTTTGTTACCTGCAGCTGATGGGTAAATGTATTCAGTCTCAGCCTGGTCACCTGAGAGAGAAAACAAAGTGGAAAAATGTGACTTGCTGTGTTTTTACAACACGTTTAAATTTGATCCTTCAAATTCTGTTAACTGCTGTTTGTTGTACAGCTTCACTACAGAGCAACGTGTGTCAGTGTGCTGTTGCAGTGAAGTGAGTTAGAGTTGTACTTGGCTGGTAGTAGTCATAGATTTTGATCATGGCTGGTTTCAGGTTCTCCACTCGAAGTTCTTCTATGACTGTCAAGCTGTAGTTCATGGGCATGTCCTTTGGTAACTGGATAAACAGGAGACACACTCTGTAACAATACAGACATCATCATCTGGTATCCCCACTGTGATTATCTCTCACCTCCTGTAAATACACCAGAACATGATCTTCTGTTTGTTCAACACGATCCACCAATGGGGCACCTTCGAGCTGTGAGGAGACAACAGTCTCCTTATTATTATTTTATCTCATCATAAACTGACACATGGTAGCAACATTTCTATTCAGCTAACAACTGCAACAACCCACCATCTTTAAAGACACTGCATTTGGGACAAATCCAGAGAGCATTTTGATATCCAGGATCACCATGTTGGTAGTATTCTCCTTTCCACTGTACCTGTGTTCGAACAGTTAAAAAGTGATTGCACTGATGTGTATCCATAGATGCCACATTTCCAACACTTATCCCACAGTGGTAAATAAAATTCCCCTAGCACATATCTAATCTGTTAAATACTTACAGGGATTTTATTGTCAGAGTGAGCTTGCGTCTGGATTCACTTGTTGCATCAACCTCTGATTTGACCTCCACGCTGAGAGTAGTGACATCAGTGGGACTCGGGATGTTGTAGTGAACAGAAATCTGCGAAATAGTCAACCAAAAGAGGTTTGCAGTTTATAATAATAGTAATAAGAAGAAGAATAGAAATCTGTTTATGTTTTTATGTTTATGTTTTGCATTTATGTTCAAATATAGTGGCGTCACATTTTAGGGGACTGATTAAAGTTATGAAATTATTTTGGTGGTTGTGGCCAGAATATTATGTACACTAATTGTGGGCAGAAATGTCATCTTGATTTGGAGGTTCTTTCATCAAAATATTTAAAATTGAGATAAAGGCTTGGACGTGAGAAGGGATCTGGAAATAGAACTGCTGGTTATTTACGTAAAATATACCAGCTAAGATGGTGCAGGCATGTTTGCAGGATGCCTTTATGACACTACCCTCTGGAGATTTTCCAGGCAAATCCAACTGCGAGGATACACACAGTGTAGCTAGACCTTCCTGGAGATATTATACATGTCATCTGGCCTTAGTGAAATCCATGATGAAGAACAACGACAACAACAACAAGAAAAAAAATACATAGGAGGAAAAGGAATGTTTGAAATCATTTCCTTAGTGGGAAGCCACTGCATCCTGAATTTGGATAATTTGAGCAAATACACAGATGGATAAGCAAATGTGCTTTTCTGAGTGAAATCACATTTTTTCATTATACTTCTGTATTTGGAAAAAGGAACAAGCAGGATACTGTCACTGACCTGCACTGACACACATGCAGTGCCCTTCACCTCCAGGCTGTATCTTCCTGACACGCCCTGCATCGTCTCCTCCTGGTAGAGCAGTTTGTTGCCCGGATTTACATCAAATGTCAGCTGACTGCTGTCAGACTGAACTGTCACTGTGCTTGAACCCTCAGGACTGAACACCAGAGTGGAGTAGAGAGCCAGAGCCTGAAGAGCCACCACTGTGTCCTACAAACAAAATCACAGCTACTACACATACTTACATATATATTTATATTTTGTATTTTACAGGACAGCAACAGCAAGTAAAACTTCAGTATTCAGCTTCTCTCAAATTAGTTTTTATTTATCCCAGTGTATATGAACTCAAAGGTGAGATTTAAGCTGTTTGGGTGGTGTAGCACCTGAGTGGAGGAGAAGCCTCCATAGTAGTTCTGCTGGCCAGTCAGCCACCTAATAATGCCAGAGGCATAACCCAGGTCGTCAGCAGTTGTGGAGGCACTGAGTTTGGCCAACAGCACATAAGAACTGATTTCCACTGACAGGGAGGCTGATGTTTCTGCTGCTGTCTGAGACCAGTACAGGAAACCTCCTACAAACATACAATAAAAGTTACACTTATGGTAATAACACCTGAATGATTTCCTGTTAGATGGTGACTCACCTTCCCTCACTGCAACTGTGTCTAAGTGCTGCAAAAGGTGAGTGCGGGTCTCCGTGTCTCCTGCCAGGGTGAAGACATAGGCCAGCAGAGCTGTAGTGTAGGTGTTGCTGAGGTCA